ATTTTGCTAATTTTATTGTACAGGCTTCCATTTAGAGATAGACTCCTTTCCAGCGGGCATGACAGTACTTTCTTCTCATTTCAGCAGCTTTGAAAGCACAGGCTGACCAGCCGCCATCTTTCTTAACAGAAAGTTAGATGGAAGATCCACTCTTCCCTGGTCCCTCCACCACCACGCTCCATGCTTGGAACCCTCTGTTGCGTGACCTCCTTTTGGAAACTGTTTTTGAAATCTTTTAGTTTTTCTTTTCATTGCTTGCCTCTACCTCCTCCTAGGTTTTATTCTTATTTCTCTTTTGGGATGGGGGGCTTGATAAGATTGCAGCAGGTGTGGTGAGAGGACTGTTCAGCTTATTTGACGCCTTGGTTGGTCCCTCTTGAGATCCCCCACCCTTGTTGTAAACAGCCTCTCTCCAACTTGCAAGGATAATTCTGCCTCCTGCCGTGTTTCACTCACCACATATACCTGTAAAATGTCATGGGATTTATTTCCAGCTTTTTCTCTAACTTGTCCTGCTCATTTTGAACTCTGATGTTTTATTGCCTGAAGTAGTCGCTGGGCTGTGTGTGCCATTTGCGTCCAGGAACAAGGTGAACAGTACCAGAAGTCAGGCCCAGAGTCATCAGGTGGTCAGTCAGACAGCAGGGAGCCTGGGACCAGGGCCATCTTGCAGCTTAGAACACACCTGTGTTCTGGGTATGGTACGTAGCTGCTTCATTCACCAGCTCTGCTATGACCCAGCAGCAGTAGAGTTAAAAACCATATTTTCCCTAATATTTTGGGAACCACACCACTGGTTATTGCATTATCTAATGATGTAAAGAGAACGCGGGAGCCATAAATATGAATGACCTCCTAGAATTAGTTTTGATCTCATCAGAAAATAGGTTTTGATCTCATCAGAAGGAATCCTTTACCATGGTAGTGTCACTGCCAGACAGATATTCCATCTCAGCCCAGATCTGAGAGCATTAATAAATTCTAGTGACAAGGCAACACACCCTCCGGTGGTCCCTGATTGACAGAGAGGGAGAAAGCGGTACAAGCAGGCCAGCATGTCCTCTGGGGAGCTGGCATACAGCACAACCCAGCCATGCACTCGGCTCCAGGCCAAAGCAAAGTGGGCCTGGCAGTGTTGCTGCCACATCTGAGCTAAATCAGGTGTCCTCAGCTGGACTGTCAGGAGTTTGTGAGCTTCCTGCCACTGAGAGCACAGTGATATATATGTGTGTGTACTTTCTAACAAGCAAGATACTCAGGATTTTTTTGGGGGGGAGGTTGTTTTTTATTTTTTTAAGATACATAGTTGCACTCCATATTCCAGGCTAGAATGCCATGGTCTTAGTCTGGCTTACAGCAACCTCAAACTCCTAGGCTCAAGTGATCTTCCTGCTTTAGCCTCTTAAGTAGCTGGGACTACAAAACCACAGGCCACCATGCCTAGCTCATTTTTCTATTTTTAGTAGACACGGGGGTCTCACTCTTGCTCAGGCTGGTCTCGAACTCCTGACCTTAAATGATCCTCCTACTTTGTCCTCCCAGAGTGCTGGGATTACAGACATGAGCCACCATGCCCTACCCAACATACTTAGCTTTTATATGATTTTCAAAAGGGTCCCTGAAATTCTAGAGGGCTAAGAAGCTCTGTTCACCAGGGAGGCAATAATCTAAACTTCCAAAGTGAATGAAATAGGTTGCTGGGGAGTGATACAACAAAAGTGCTCAAAGGAAAGAGCATTTACATCTGTTGATGCTAATCGTAGGACAGAGACTCTTGGCGACCTCTCATTTAATCCTCACGACAACCCCTTAAAGAAGACAGGGAAGGCATCAAGCCCAGGTCTTTCTCTAAAGCCCACATGCAATCTACACCACAGAGCCTCTGTAAGAAGGAAAATGCCGTTGAAAATGAATCAGAAATGAAGATAAGCAATCTCAAACCAGGGGGAAGTAGGACTTGATATTCAAAACTGTGGTTTGTTTTTAAAAATTAAGAGCTTCAGATGAGAGTCCAAGGTATGTGGGGTGATCCAGGGAGCAGCTTCAAGAAGGAGCATTTCCTCCTGCACGAAAGCTTTGCAAGAAATGGAAGAAGCTGAAGATGGAGCGTCACGAGGCCCCACTTCACTGCCCGGCGTCTCGTGAATGAGCTCACGTGTTTATGAACAGAAAGATTTGGTTGAACTAATTTAATTTCCTCTTTTGTATCTCTGCACTAATTAATGAGTCATTTAACTTGTTCATGGTACATGAAATCAGGTAAATGCGACTATGTTACCCTTCATCTCTGTTTGGACTGAAGTGTTAATTCTTTTTTGGTAAGCTTTTAAAAGAGAGTTTAGGAAATAGTCCAGTCCACGAAACTGAAGGTTAAACTAACCCCCAGGGCTGCCTTCTTTACAACTAAATTCTAAAGTACATATTGGCCATCGTTTTATGGAAAATACTATTTGAGAATGTTCAGTGAAGATTTAGCAAAAATCAATATAGATTTCTGGAGTTTTCTATATTCCTTTTTGCCAGTACACTTTACCTAAACCAGTGTGATCTTCTATTTGGAGAACTCTGTTTGGGGAGGCTGAGCAGGATTAATTCCTGTCCCTGTGTTGCAGTGTAAACAGCTTTTTGCCTGTCTTTTGTCATTAATGATCATGCCGTAGATGTAGCCAGTGCATTGTAAGCCAATCTGTCAAGGCAAATAAACAGTTCACCTTGTTAAAATTCCCTAAATCTTGCATTAATAAAACCAAAGTAACCCCCTGAACACTCAAGAGATGTCTCCCTCCATACTGCCGTGATGGATGACATGTCCAGAGATCCTGGAAATTAAGTAGTTCAGGTCATTAAAAGTGTCCCACACTTGTTATTGATTTAATTTATTTTAAAAAGGTGGGGGTGGAGATAAGAATGTTATCCCTCCCCCATTTTTTTTTTTTTAATCTGAAAGCTACCACTTGTACAGATAATTAAAACTATTGCCTGGGGGGAACAGGTCTCTAGTTATTACAACATTAAGCTTTATTATTCAAGTAAGTATTAAGCAGAGACCTAGGAAAAACTCAGTAATCATTAAAACTTGTATCACAACAAAAATACCTTGGAGTTTTACGTGTATGATGATTCTTAGAACTTTCTGAGTTCTAGACACTGAAATCACGAACTTTGGTCACCCAGCACATTCCCTTGGGTAGGTAAAAATTTAGATAAAAGTGAAACAATGTCAGGAAATTGAACTAAGATAGTAATGAAATGATGCCTCTGGGCAGAGGTGTTTAGTTTCTCTCATTTTTTAAACTTTTTATTGTTCAATTTTTATGATCAGGAGAAAAGTAAACATACACTCACAGGGAGGGAGGGAAGGAGGGGTTGGTGGATAGGGAAATAGTAGAGAGCGATCTGTAGCTGTGTCACTATATTCCAAGGCAAGTTTAAGTTGTTGTTTTGTGTGTGTATTTACTTGTTCATCACTAGTGTTCTCCACCAGCCCATGTTCCAATGGACCAGTAATACTCATTGCCATATCCAGTGCCTACCATAATAGATGCCCAGTAAATGGTTATTCAGTGAATAGTGTATAACCCCCGCATGGCTTCTCTTTTTATTCCTTAAGCTTTAGTGGGTACAGTGGGCTGTATAGGGAACACTAGCAGCCCCCTAGAGAGCTGGCTCTCCAGATGACCCTCCCTAGGACAGACCAGCAAGAGGGCTGTGCACACGTGTAGATCAAGGGCAGCCTGGGAGGAGTGGGTAGCCACTCAGCTACCCCAATTGTATGTCCTGACCCAAGTGACATTATTCCAAAATCTGGCGAGAAATGGGGCAATTCAGTACGTAAACTATGGCTAAAAGGGAGACGTCATACGGAGCTAAGTAGAAGATGCTGATCATTTGACCGTACCCTTCAGCTTATACAATATTCCTGATCGGCTGCATGAATGACATGTCCCATTCAATTCTCTTTGTTCTTCCAACAACATGTGCTCATTGGACAAAACTTACCCCATGTTAAGTTATGAAATGTGACCCTTAAGAATAGTTACATTGGGTGGCACCTGTGGCTCAAGGAGTAGGGCGCCAGCCCCATATACTGGGGGTGGTGGGTTCAGCCCCGGCCAAACTGAAAAAAAAAAAAGAATAGTTATGTTAATTTCAGAGATTATATAGTTTTTGATGTTTTTCTCATGTTATCTTTAGAAAAAAAGGGGAGAGGGCAGCAGCAAATGAGCCATCCGTTCACACACACTGGCAGATTTTTGAAAATACATAGATGCAAGGTCAGACTATAGTTCTCCATCAGCTTCTCCTTAAAATTCCATAATTTGGCTCTCTGAGTACTGACATGGTTATGCTATTATGCCAGCTATTTAGCAAAAGCCCTCTAGATGGAAGAACTTTATAGATTTTTTTGCAGCATATACACTGATTTACACTTAGCAGGGAAGTGTTACTGACCCTGTAAGTGGAGCTGTCCAAATGGCAATAAATGTCAGTTGATCCTAAGGCGGAAACAGGTGATAGCTGAGGGGTTTTGGCTAAATCTTCCAGTTGGAAAAACCATTTACGGTATTTCCTAATCAGTAGCGGTATCCTGTGGAGTCACGTGCACACACATCCCCAGACCACTTTATCACTCAGTAAGGAAAATTTGATTTATATAGCTTAGTGGTATTATTGCTGTTTCCAGGTTTTGAAATCTTCACTCTGCTTAGACTCTTCAGGAAGGCAGGGACCACTGTCGTGTCCCCTAGCGCGGGTCTGGCATGCTGTAGGTGATCTATAAGTGCTGGTTGAATGAAAAAACAGATGAAATGCAGCATTTGCCAGCACTGCACAGCCTGAGTTCTTGGTGGGCGACATGGGGACCACCCCTCATATTGATTGTGAGGAGTGTTGCTGGCAAGAACTTTGATGGACGGTTATGACTTTTTGAAATAGTTCGTTTGATTGATCGCCTAGCAAACTTTCACTCCAGTTTCTAATTCTGTTTTCTGCTTTCACAGGCTGTCATTTTAGAAAATGAAGAACTCCCCAAACTGTTTCTTGATTTTCTAAACGTGCGACACTTGCCCTCTCTACCAAAGGCAGAAAGTTGTGGGTAAGAATGTGGTTTACACATTGTATGCATATTTGAAGTTACTGTCCAGTGACTGATTGGCCTGACAGATAACCCAAGGTGGTGTCAGAAGGGCCAGCCTGACCATGCCCATTCCTTTGGGTCGGGACAGCACTTGCTCGCCCCCTGCTTGTGGTCAGAGGAATTCCTCTGCAGTCCTCGTCCCCATCTTGGCCAAGTGGCCGAGGCTTAGTAGCCCCTTCCTGAGATGTCTTGCCTCGTAGCTGGCAGAACCAGGTCTTCCAACAAGAGCCTCCTTCCTCCACTGCCTTCCCTCAGGAACTTCTGGCGGGAATGCAGATCCTATTCTGTCTATGAGGAACCAGAGGTTTAATAATATCACCAGCAATCAGGAAAAGTCCACCTGCAGGCTTTACTCTGAAACAAGCCACTTGCCCAGCCACTAGCCCCAGAGGCAGCTTCCGTGGCATAATAAATCCACATACAGAAAGTCAAGTCATCACAAGCTCTGAAAATCCAAGCAGGGCAGAGGGTGTGGCCATCTACTGTGAGCACCCGTCAACTCCTCACCAGCGCTGTTTACTCATGATGTCCCACTCATCCCAGAGCACTAAATAAGTGAAGTGAGTACACTTCACTTACTAAATAATCCTCACTCATGCGTCCCCCTCGGCAGCACACATACTATAATAATCCTCACGGTCAGCGTGTTCTACTCCTGCTTGTGTGCGTATGCTGGGAGGCTCGGCCTCCTACATGTTCACGTGTTTTTGGAAGAAATATTAGCAATGGCAGTGAAATCTTTTCTCCCAAAAGTAGTAAGAAAACATTAGGATTTTTAAGTGATCTTCAGGAAAATGGAAATCAAAGAATACCCCAATCTAAGTATTCTTTAGGGCAGGGTATGTGTAGCAGTCATTGTGTGACTCAGTGAAAACTCGCAACTCTTTTTTTTTTTTTCAATGTTTCACAATTCAGTGTTCCAAGATACTGACTATATTTTTGTTGGCATAAGTACTGACCCAGCTGATGTGGTTTTTTTTCTTTTTCTTTCCCTTAACAAAAATTTTTAGATCTTTCGACGAGACAGAATCTGAAGAGTCAAGGTAAGAACTAATACTAGTCAATCCAGAGTTACACTGACCAGGAACAGGACAGTGGTTTTGTTAAATGTTTAATCACCCGTCGTGTAAGTGTTTCAGGTCAGGTTTTTCTTGAAAACCTTTGTTAGGAAATTGGTTTTAAGATTATAAATATTTGATAGGGTCTTACAGGAGTAACCAGTTATACTTAGGAGGGGAGGGGTTAGGGCCCTGCATTGTTTCATACGAGTAATAAGAATGTTTTATCCATAATCGTATTACAAGATTTTTTAAGAAAGCACTTTGCAGCCATGATTTATTGCCTAGATTTTGTATCTGCTCCATATCCCACAAAGAAATGTTCAGAAGGTGAGTGCAGAGCTAGTCTGCTCCCTCTAACTCTGTTTTCTGTTATCCACCTACACCATTAGATACATAAACCTCCGGACATCCCCGCACAGCAGTTTGATCCCCTCAAAGCTAGTTTGTAGTGTTTTCTGTTTACCGTCGTCCCCTGATGCTGACATGACTGTTCTTGACCTTTCCAGCAAACTGTCCCACCAGCCCGTGCTGCTGTTCCTCAGGGATCCATACGTCTTGCCTGCAGCCAGCGGTAATCAAACCTGTCATCTGCTAACAGCTCTTTACTGATCTGACCCTGCACCACATAAACCACGTTTTTAATACAGGTCTAACAGAGTGACATTGGTCCAGGGCTTAATAATCTGCCAATAAACCAGTGCTCTTGGTGTAAGAGACATTTAGAATTTTAATTGGGGCCAGCCTTTCAGGAGGAAATGTAATTTTTCTTTCTCTCTTACTGGTCTATTTTGAATTAGAGTAATAAGGGGGGAAAGTATGTAAGGTCTTTAAGTTTTTTTGTTGCATTATTTTGCCCTCTACTTGGTTTTTTTACAGATGCCAGGAGTCAAATTTGAGATTCTAACCCTTTTTTAAAAAGCCCTGTTAATAACCCTTTTTTAAAAAGCCCCATTCCAAAAGCTGTGTAGATACATTGCTGATGTATCTCTGCTTCTGTTTAGATTACAATGTGTCTGTGGTCAACTATGTATTTTTAAAAGTTGCATATTTTAAATACAGTTAATTAATTTAACTATAACTATGAGCAGTATTTTGGCTAAGTCCTTTCTTTGTGCCAAGAAATTCCGATTCCTCTGAACCTCTCTCAGAATGTTCTCTGTGCAGCTGTTCGTGAGTGGATTCTCAGACAACATCTCATTTAATTGTCTTAACAACCTTGTAAACTAGGCTAGCAGGTATTATCATTGGCTGAATATGAAAATCAGGACTCAGGGAGGTCCCTGACTCATCCAGCGTCAGTTGGCTGATGGCTGGACCCCTTTTGTTACCTGAGTTCTCCCACTGTGTTCTCTCCATATATGGTAAATTTTCAGCCTTCTGTCTGAGAGTCAATCCATAGCATAGCGACAAGATAGCAATGCATAGAGGACCCATCAAAACCACTCCTAATTTCTGATAATAAAGCCTAATCACTGGCAAGAAAAGGGGGACTGCTCTCTGAGACAAGGATGCAAATACTCAAAGCACCCACTTCGCTATTACTATAAAGATGGTTGGCTAGGAAGGACACAGCTCTCCTCTGTCGGGAAACCCTTCCTCACACCCTGATCAGAGAGAAATACTTGGACTGTATAAGAGTGTGATGTCATAGTGTTTGTCCTATAATGTCTCTGCAGTGAAGAATGTTATATGGAACACATATCCATGATGCAACCTAGTCTGGATTAAATAGGCCATGTAAAGGACTGTCTTTTAAAAATGGAGATATTTCATGCAACTTTTTGAAATTCCTGCAGAAATATAGAGGGTGCAGTGATCATGGTAGACAAGAACAACCAGGATATCTGATGGAAGAGAGAAGATATTTTTTGATCCTCAATCCACTTTTTCCAGGTTATTAGTCAGCACCTACCGGGTGCTACGCACCTGGCATGTAACAAAGAACAGGTGGAAATTTCTGGGAAGGAATGTCAGACATAAATGTCTTGAGCTAGAAAGAGTAAGAAGTAGGTGTCATTCATTGGTAGCGTGGCAACGTGATGGAGACTTGCAAGATAAGGGGATTCCTGTTTGAAAGTAAGCAGAAATCACGGGTTTGGTAGAAGGGATCAGGTATAGGCGAGCCAGTCTATTTTCTTGGAATTTTGACCAACCCAGTTTCATGGATCAGGTTATGTTATACTAATGATATATTCTTGTAAATATTTAACATTTAATTCAGAGAGAAACCTTATTTTTCACTATATTTTTATGTTATGATGCCTCTTAGTAAGATGTTCAGGTTATTATTCCAGAGATCCTAAATGTGGAAGTATCTTCACAGATACACTGACCCCCACAAAATCAGGAATGTTTGTTTTTAAACAACATCTGGCAATTAAATACTATCTTCTTGGAAAATGCTAATAATTGAACATGATCCTCTTAGCTTTTAATATCAGAAGTGAGAAGAATACTCTCAATTTTTTTTTTTCTTTTTTGAGACAGAGTCTCACTTTGTCGCTCTGGGTAGAGTGCTGTGCTTGCAGCAACCTCAAACTCTCAGGCTCAAGTGATTGTCTTGCCTCAGCCTCCCGAGAAGCTGGGATTACAGGCACCCACTACCACGCCCAGGGTTTGACACTTGCTCAGGCTGGTCTTAAACTCCTGAGCTCAGGCAGACCCCTGGTCTCGGCCTCCCAGAGTGCTAGGATTACAGGCATGAGCCACCTAGGAGAGTACTCTGTTAACATTGAAAAGCATGTATGTTTTTACCTTTATTTAGATGTTCTGGGAAATTCTAAACAATTCTTGCCAAGGTCCCAGTGACTTCAGTGTGGCCAAATGCTATGGATGTTTTCAGGCCTCATCTCACTTGGCCCCTCTTCAGCTCTAGACGTGTTGACCACTCTCGTCTCCTTCAAACACCATCTCCATCTCCCCTTGGCCTTCTCACTTTCCCTCCAGTCTCTGGCAGCTCGCCTGAAGGCTGTCACAGCCCTCTCCTCACTCTGCTTCTTTCAAATCTCTTTCTTGTTCTGGTTGTGACTCCCCAGGTATACAACAGAATCACAATATTGTATTTCCATTTCAACCATCCCCTGTGGGCCCCAGACTCTTAACTGTGGTTTCCAAAGTCCTCTGTGGCCTGTTCTGGGCTTGTGTTTCAGCTGGAACCCCCTCACATACTCTACCCTAGCCAGGCTGGAATTCCTTCTGGGCCTCAGGTGTGCTAACCTCTCCCCCTTGACCCCAGGGCTCCTGCTGTGTCCCCCCCTTAAACCTCCTCACCTCAGCACGGAGGCTCTCGGCTCTACCAGGTGTCCCACTTCGTGCCATGGCTTCAGGGAGCTCTGTGGCCTCTCCCTCTCAAATAGCCTCTGTGAGTCCCTCCACCTGTTTATAGCAGATGTTTATTAAATAAATGAAAACCAACAAAAATAGCAACAAAACTTACCTGGACTCACATTCCTTCTTGTCACCTTTTAAGGGGAATCAAAGGCAAGAATAGTTTCCTGAGTAGTTCAGGTAGTAACGGACATTGGATTAAATCATGCATATGATGAGGCCAAAATCCAAAGCTTAAAGTAGCACGGAACAGATGAGGGAAAAAGCCGAAGCCTTGCTCACCTCACTGTTATTCCCTAGCTGGGAGACAGTGTTAGAAAATCCCTCCTACCCAGTCACTTTTATCAGAATGCCTTATTTGTTTCCTTCATGGTAATGGTCACAAACTGTCTTGCTCTTGTTCTCTCTCTCTCTCATATTTACCCTCTAAATCTCAGCATCGAGCATGTGCTCAGCCCTTGGCAGACAGCACCTTCAGGGCCTTAGCACTCACTTTCTGTCCTCTGAGCCGCCCTTCTCCAGCTACCCTCCCGGCAGCTGTCTCTGCCCTGCCGGAGAGCACCTCCACACAGGCTCTTCCCTCACCGTCCCGCCCCTGTCCCTCCCTAGCCCTGCTCTTTTTCCCCCTGCCCTTCCCTTATCACCACTGGACATTTACCAGTGCTGCAAAATTACTCATAGTATTTAATGTTATTTTCCTTTTTGTCCTTTTTGGCTGACCTTACTTAATCAAATCCATTTCCGCTAAATATGCTTATGAAATAATTTCACTGATAAACTTACATTTTGGATGGCAAAGGATAAAAGCACGTGTGCTCCTTGCATTGTCGTATATTCTGTTGGGTATTTTATTGAAAATTAATCAATGGTTCTATTTTTGTCTATTGATTTTAATATACTTCTTTGTGGGAGAAATACATTTAAGATTAAAATTAGCCAAATCATTGCTTTTGATTGGATTTGAAATATGCAGGTGTAAGACCTATTGTACTCTTTTAAAGATATATTTTATGAAAAACTGGGTCACTTCATGTTGGGGAAAGGTAAACTCTAAGAAGTCAGATATCAGCAACCAAAAATCTCTGGGTCCTCATGTATTGGGGGTGTTTTTAAACATACTTTGTTTCTCAAGGAGGCCTCAAGGAGGCCCCAAGGACACAGCTGCAAGGTGCCCCCCCTCCCCCCCGTGGTGACTCAGCTGTTAGGAATTTATAGAAACTGAACTTCCTGGGATCTGGAAACTAAGGCTTGCTTCCATGTCTGTAAAAGCCCAGGGTTCTGTAAAAGCGGGAACCCACTTCTCCAGCTTGATTCAGACTGACAAATGAGAGAGGTACCCATGAGCTGGGATCTTGACTGGAGATAAAAAGGGGAAGACTGAGCCAGTCGAGAAGCTTGGCCATTTTAGACTCTAGTCTGCCATCTCTCTGCCACTGAGCCCTTCCTCTTTAAAAAATAAAAAATAAAAACATACTTGTTCATTTGCTTGTCTCCCTGACTTGCATATAGTGTGTTCCATGGCATGGACTGAGGCTGTTACTTAGTTACATTTCCAGTAATTAGTATTTAGTTTGTAATAATAGCTGGTACTTACTGGGCCACGCCCGAACCTTAGCACTTTGTCTCCCTCCTCATCTTCACAGCTCCAAGGCAGGCATTACTGTGGAATCTGTTTCCCAGTTGAGGAGAGGGAGGCACAGAGAAGTTGAATAACTCACCTAAGGTCACACTGTTATCTAGTGGCTGATCCAGGACCCAGGGGTAAACTTATGACCCCACCCAGATGTTACTGGGCTTCCCATTTGTTGAGTCTCGAGACTGCCTCAAACTCAACAGGTCCAAACCTGGGCCATCTTCAGTTTTCCTCTCATCCCAGGTCTTGCACCCCCCTTCTCCTGGTGATGTGAGCCAGAAACCCGGCGGGCATCCTTGACCTCTCCTTTACCCTCACGGACACATCTGATCTGTCAGTCAGTCATGTCTTTTAGTTCTTGAAACCCCTCCACCTTTCCTCCCTTCTACCATCAGGATTGTGTTCAGGCCACCATCTTTTCCCTCTTGAACTACTGCTGCAGACTCTGAACCTATCTTGTCTCTATGTTGAACTTAGTCCAGTTGACAGCTGGAATCTTCTTTTTAGAATACAATTCCATCCTGTCTCAGTCTGCTTTAAAATCCTTTAAGAGCTTGTCATTGCATTTCAGATGAAGAATTCCTGTCCATTCTTCTCAGGCATGACTTGGTGCCTGTCCCTAGCTCCTCACCCACGCTCCTCTTGCTACACTAGCCTCCCTCCAGGTCGCCAGGCTCCCTCCTGCCACAGACTTCCCACCTGGTTAGCGCCCTCTGCCTGCACCTCCGCGAGCCCTCCTGCCTTCTCTGGTGAGGCCCAGTGCTCTGTTAGCGGTTTTACATAGTAAGCTCTCTGTAGGGAGTAGATGAACATGTTATTTTGTTCTTAAGATATCGCACCACTTAATTTTCTTACATAATACTATATTTATTTAAAATGCTTGGATTTAGCAGAATTCCTGTATATAACTATGTGCAGATTAATTAAACTTATGAGCCAGGAGACAGACTGCTTCCTGTTGAAGTAACCCGTTCACGGTTTACCTGCTCTCATAACTGGAATGTGGTACCGTATACTCCGCATTTTGGGGTTTTCTTTTTAATCTCCTATAATAACGTAGCTGGTTTTCAGGTTCAGCAGAATGGCTTCTGTCAGAAATCTGCCCTTTTAATTTCAGAAGACAGCCCCCATCTCACTGCTCTCTAGAAGCTGGTGTAATAGAACAAGTATGGTGGAGACAACTGGGACTAAACGCCGCTGTAAACCACAGTGGAAAAACTGCAGCAAAGTATTCCCAGTAGAAATCTTGGAATTCCTTCAAGTATATTGAGATTTTGTTAGAAATTGAATTGCCAGTGTAATCCATCTTCCTTGTGAGAAAACATTCAGATAAAGAGCCGGGGCCTAGCAGCATTAACCATTAGAACATCCCTTAAATCAATAAGCTACAAATCTGGCCGTGCATTCCTGCAGCGCCCGGGGTGTGTGCCGCGGCCGTGGGCCAGCTCGGCATGACTGATAGCTCTCCTGCACAAGGCAGAGTGCTCACCGAGGCAGATTCCTGTGCCGCCGTGGGCCTGGCCTTGTTACCTTCTGCAAAATGCAATGATATTTTATTGTGACATGTTAAGGAAAGCAGCTTTTCCTTTTGTTTTCCAGATTTTCCGAATGTGGTTATCGAGGGAGTGCTCCATGGGATATTTTACCCGCATCTGCAGCCCAGGTAGAAATCCTACATGGCTCAAAGAAGCTGAGGCAAGTTTCGAAGACACAGCCGAGGAAATCGATACCTACCAAATTAACCTAAACTCTATGACACAACAGTCTAGCTAGTGGTAAAATTCACAGTCCCAGCTTAATTCAGGGCAGGGACCTTTCCATTAGAATGGTGCTTTTAAAAATAGAAACTGAACCAGGGCAGTGAGCAGGTGAAGGCCAGGTGTTTAAGAAGTAGAATGTAGCTGCCAACTTAGAAACCTGTGAAAAGGAAGCCACGGCAGATTCCTGGGAGGACCGGGGGTCGCAAAACAAAGTCACCCTCCGCTCCATTTGCACCATTTGCTAATTGAAAATCATAACCTGAATCCTACTGAGACTGATCACCTTTGGTAGCTTTTTCGTTCAGATCTTAATGACACACTAATCTTTTCACCGTGAAGTTTTCTCAGCCGGTAACAGTAGCATTCTGAAGTGCCGGCACCAGGACAGTGTTACAGACACACACTAAGCTGAATGTGAGGAAGGAATGAAACTGGAAATTAACTTATAATGATAATCTTGTGGCATTGTAGTTTACATTACAGTGGAGTGGCATCATATCCAGGGGATTAGCTTCTGACCTCAGCACAGAAGGTAGAATGGGCTGTTAGGATAACCCTGGGAAGCCCCCCAGAAAGGCGCCATGTCGGGATTCTGTGCAGCAACCGCAGCCGGTTTTCACTCCAGTGTTGGAAGAAAAGAGTGTTTTGTTCATTTGAAGACCAGATGAAGTTGTTAGTGTTTGTTTAGGGGCCATTTTGTATTAAAAGCACGTACCTTTGAACACGAGAATCATAGTCAGCCTGGCAAGATGCTTGCCCTGGGGAGGAAGAGGTGAAAGGACAATGAGTGAAGGGCCAGCAGTGGGGCGACACCTGTCTGGGTTTCCTCGAAGGCCTGCACTCACCAAGCAGGTAGGATTGCCACAGGATTGTGTGGTACTTTCCTTATCGGTTCCTTTTTACTGACCTCATGGATTTAATTAATGTACGTTAAATGTGTTTATGATATAACTCCACTGTACAGAATAGACATTCATATTTTGAAGGGTGCGCACATACATACTACTGTGTGTACATGCTGTATGTGGGCATTTCATCGAAAACCAATTCATAACTAGCCTATTTATGGTTAATAGTTGTAATAAGTTTCTTGGCAGGAGAAAAATGTATAAAATCAAAACTAATAACTACATCATGGTTTTTTGATTTGGATCTAAATATACAGGCTTAAACCCTACTGTAAACTGTTAAAGAGATGTTTCATGATAGATTCTGTTACGACACGTTGGAAACAAGGACTGAATAATCAAGTGTCATCAACCAAAATTAACTGACTAGTCAAGCATTGGAGATATTTTTTCAATGTTTTTATGTTATTAGCTATTTTGAGTTAAATAAAAGCAAGAAGAAGAAATATTTGAGTCTGTCTTCTGGTCCTAGGATTTTCTTGGAAACAGATTGTGTCTGTCTCTCTGTACACACACATGCGTGTGCACACACACAGAGCCTCACACATACACACATACACATCCGTTGCTAATCTGACAAGGTAAGTTATTAAATCACTTCATCTGTTACTTAGCCAGTAAGTACTCATTAAATACTTGATGTCTTACCAGGATAACAAGAGTTTTTTTTGCAGTAGTACACAGCTCAAGGAGTCTTTTTTTGAGAATTGAATGCTTTTTAGTGATTTTCACTTTTATGTTTATTTAAATTTTAATGTATAAGTTTATGAGTCAGACTTATTGTAGGAACTAGAAATCCTTGTAGGTCTTTTAAGTAGAAAGGGCTGTAACATCAGAAACTGAAGCCTGTGGAACCTTCGGGAAGGGTGAGAAGAGTGAACTCCTTGGTGTCCAGAAATGAATGCCAAGGGCACCAGAACAACCTCGAGCACCGACCTGCCAGGGGAGCTACAACCTGTGCCTTAAGCAGGAGTTCAGGGAGTCAGAAGGCTGCAAGTGGAGCTCTTGAGATAAAAACACACCACGGCTGCGATCCAGGGACCAGCACGTGGGAACAGGAAGCAGCTGCTGTCTGCATGAGATATGGAGATGCCAGGAGGTAGCCACAAGGCACTGCCTTATGGCAGCACACAGGAGCTGGTGACCCAGCAAGGGAACAAAATGTCCTGTTGCCACCACCCGCGTCACATTTGCCTCTCAGCACCCACAGACTTAGTGGCCAGCAACCACAGCCCGAAGCAGCGGGAAGATAGTATTCACCCACTTCCATCTCCCACTCCGTATATTCCTTCAAAGTACATCCGGTTTGTAGAAACTTTTTCTCAATCCCCAGCTGCAGTAGAGTCTGGGAAGGAGCGGGTAGTCCTCTAATTTCTGTAGCTCAGGAATGTACATGGAATGTATTTCCATGGTTGGAAATTTAACTTGATAAATAATATATATAAAGGAAATTCTCCTATCTCATTTATATACCCAATTCCCCAGTAGTAGTCAGCTTCATGGCCATGCGGTACTATACCATTGGTAACTACTATACTTAACTTGTGTATTTTGAGGGATAGTTTACGTACAAGCAAATATTATACGTACATTCCATTTCCCTCTCCTTTCCAAAAATGATAGCATACAGAGCTCATTGTTTTCTACCTATTTAACAGTGTATGTTGGCAATATTTCCATATTAGTACATAAAGTATGTTCCTCTTTTTTACAGCTGCATGGATCTGCTATAATTTATATAACCAGTACCATATTAATAGACATTTGTTTTCATTTTTCTGTTATAAAAATTCCATAGACAATACCCTTGCTTGTGTATATATGTATCATCACAGATTTTATTAATAATTTGCATAAAATAACTGTAAATTCAGAACCACAAAATATTTTATTAAAATAGTCTTGGATGTGTAAATGCACGTTTATATTATTTCAGAATATTTCACTCTTGGATTTCAGTGGCCGTGACCACCCCATATTGCTGTGCAGGTTGTGCACTGCACAAGTCCAAGTAGTGTCATTCACATGAACCACAATGGGGACGGTGTTCCCTGATTGATGCTTGGAACTCTGAACTTTGGGAAATAATGAAACAAACTAGATCATTCAGAGAAGTAAAGGGTAGAAGGAAGAAGCCAGAAGAAAGAAAAGGAAAATTTATTACCACTTAAGCCTGGATGTGGGGACAGCCTCCACTCTCCTGTGCAGAACCCAGTGTTTTGCCTGGTGGACTCCCTCCCAGCACCCCTCTCAGCCTTCACCTCCCTCGCCTGGCCGCTCAGTGTCCTGGCAGCCTTGGTGTCCTTTCTCTTCCATCTCAGTTAGCCATGTGTATGAGCCCAGGAATACAGTGACTTTTGCTACCTGGTAAATCCTGCAGTGGTGAGCTTTCATTTTTAATGTTGAAATCTCTGGGCAGGTAGGGCGCCAGCCCCATATACC